TTTCTTCATACAGAAGTCAGTAATGAACTGCTCAAAGGAGTCCCTTCACTTCAGCTTTCATGCTGCAGAATATTAGGCTAGAAAATATTAGTGCAATTTATGGCCACTAAAAACCCACTAGAGAGTTAGCTGTGAGTTCACTCTGACAGAACATAATGACACTAATATATACCTATATAGGTTTTCCTAAATTTTTAAAATATACATATGTATTTTTAATGTAAAAACTGTAAATATGGATTAAACTTGACAGAATTCTTATTTAACTTATTTTTCACAGTATAAAATATCTTATATATGGAGTAAGTCACTAAATTTTCTTCAGGGACCTAGGAGTAAAACCAATGGCTATAAAATTCATCATAGAAAAGCTATGGACAACTCTAGAAGCCCTAATCCACAGCATGAACAGACTTTCAAGAATAATAAAAACTTAAAATCAGGAGAGAATAAAATAGATGAATGGAAACTTCAGAGAATCAAATCCCTATTACATAAAACAACAACAACAACACACCTGTTCTGCAACAGGGTGAAAATGAAACCCACAGACTGGGAAAAAATATTTAGCAATGACATATCTGATAAGAGACTCATATCTAAAATTTATAGAATACTCCAGCATCTCAACAAGAAAAAGGTAAACAACCAAATTGCAAAATGGGCACAGAATATGAACAGACACGCCATCAAAGAAGACAGTCAGATAGCCAAAAAAAAAAAAAAAAAAAAAAAAAAACACAAAAAAACAAAACACATGGAGAAATGGTCAAAAATCCTAGCTTTCAGAGGGATGCAAATCAAAACAAAAATGAGGTATCATCTTATCCCAGCAACAGTAGCAAAATTCAACAGAGCAGCAAACAATAAATGCTGGCAAGGTTGTGGAGAGATTGGAACCCATGCACTCCTGGTGTAATGTAAAATGATACAAACACTAAGGAAGGCAATCTAATGCTTTCTCCAAAAGTTGAAAATAGAAATACCATTTAACTCAGCAATTCCGCTAATGACTGGGAATATACCCTGAAGAAACGAGAGCCACAACTCAAACACACCCATGTATGCACACCCATGTTAATTGTCACATTATTCACAGTAGCAAAGAGTTGCAGGCAGCTCAAGTGCCCACCAAAAAATGAATGGATAGAAATACTCTGGTACATTCACACAAAGAAATATTACACAGTACAGAAAAACAACGAACTTGCATTACACAACATAGGCGATTCTGGAAAATATTATGCTGAGTGAAATGTATCTCGGTCACAAAACGACAAATAAAACTGACATGGGGTTTGGAGAAAAAATAGGAAAAGTGGATAGATATCAAACATCACAGTAAAGCAGATGAGGAGAAGAACTGTCTGAAAGAATAAATGACTAGGCATTATATGCGTAACAATAATCTGGAACAAAAGTTGCTCTCCAAAGGAAACTGGGGGAGGAGCAGGGGAGAGAGGAAAATTTGCAAAAATGAAACAATATTTTTTTTCTTGAAAAATTTGTTTCTATAGCAAAGAGCTCTAGTGGCAGTCTGTGGGAAATTGCACTGCAAGCCCAAAGGCTTTGACTCTGATTATTTTAATCATTCAAATTTTCCAGAGAAAAAGAAAATCTCTTCTTGTGCAATTTATAGCCGTAGAAACCTTATGGAGAGTCAGCTTTAGATCAGTTCTAACTTGATGGCAATGAGTTTTGAACAATTATTCCAGGTTTTAATTAATGTTATTTATTAGTAATTTTTTGTTGTTGATTGCCATTGACTTGAGCACAACTCATAGAGACTCTAAGAACAAAAGATCTGAAGCCTTTCTCCAAGGCTTTTCTCCAAGTTCATATAGTTTCTAGAGGGATGTAGTTGAGGAAGTGGATGCCACTCCTGCTTCCATTTAGACCCAATTTTTGTTTTATTGTTGTAACAAAGAAACACTGCAAAATATGTATGTATTGATTTGTGTGTGTACACATTTATTCACATTTCCTTATTTTTTATTACTAGTATTTTATTTATGACAAATTTTTGTATTAAGTATGCCAGGTCAAAGAAACTGTATGCTGTTTGATAATTTCAGTGCAAACATATTTCCCGTAACATATTAATTCTTTATTTGTTTCAGAAAGCTTGCTTTGAAGGTAGAAATGTAGAAATTTGTACTTAAAAATCATATACCATCTTTTTTTTTCCTTATTGCATTTGAAAACCTTATTTTCTGGTCTCTGTGAATGCGTTTGTTTTTTGTTTGTTTTATTCTCTCTTTAATCCTTTTAAATAAAACATCCTGCCTATCAAGCATGCTCCTTAACAGAGAGCTCCATCCTGTGGCCACTCCTTAAGCAATTCAATCCTCCAAATCCAGACACAGCATAGCTTTCACATCTAATTAGTTTTGAAAGCCTATTGATTATTCCCTGTAAAGTTCCTCTCACATCTGCTACCTCATTTCCAGACCCAGTTGCTCCACACTAATTCCCACCCTTATCATTCCACCTCTGAACCACTATAATAATTTCCTAACTCTTTCCCTCTCAAACACGGCCCTATAAAATAAATCACAAAGATGAACACTCGATATCTCTCATTGTTCTGCCCTCCATGACCTTTCCCTGTTTGAGTGTTCAAGTGTTTTCAGAAACCCTGAAATCACCTTGAGCATTCTGATGTGTGAAACTTTTACCCAAGCTTCTCCTTCAGCCTAGAATGCACACTCTCTTGAGTTCCCTCTCTCCTTTCTTTCACCACTTTGTCCTTTTAGAAATCTACCTGTAAGTCCAGGTTCAGAAGAAAGCTTTTTCTGTTTATCTTCAAAGTAAAAGGTGTTTCTTCTCTCTATATTACAGTTTCATTATTTATATGAGTTTTGCAATTTCCTTGGTCTTCCAATCTCTGTTTACTTTGTTCATAAAAGGGGAATAACCTCATAGAGTTAACATGATTAGATGATACAGTCTTTGCAAGGTATTTAAAAACATGTCTGAATATTATAAATTGTGGCAAGAAGATGCACTGCAATTCCCAAAGGCACACAGTTTGAGGCCACTAGCTGCTCCACGGAGAAGAATGGAAAATTTCCTTCCTTGCCATCAGCTGCCTCTGATATTCCACCTGATGGTCAACTATGGGTCAGTTCTGACTCGAAAGTACACAACAACAACAAACTTAAAGTAAACAATAAATGTGTGCTTGCAATTGATATGAAGTAGGTGATAATGATGATGATGATCTATTGTCTTGCATTGTTAATTTAAAATTTATTATTTCCATCTGTTTGAATGAAAGATATTTTTCAGAGAGTAGGTACTATCATTCTGCTTTTTATAGAAATTCTCATATAGAATAGGATCAAAATTACAGCATTTTGATTGACACAGTCCTTCAAATAAATACATTGACTGTTGTTATGTGTGCCTGAGTTCCTTATACAGGATCTGCTCTTTAGAAATCTTGGACAATCCCATCTGTCAGAAAGCATCAGAGTAGATTTTTACCATAGCAATATTTGAATTATTTTTTATTAAAATATATACAATGCAAAAATATTTCTTCTTTACAACAGCTTTGCACAATTATTTTTCAGGTCCTAGATTCCCCAAAACAGCAATTTTCTGTGACAGAGATGAGGATAAGGTTATCAAAGAAGACAGGAAATCTTGCAGTATTGTGATGTAGATGGGTCTAATCTCTAAGTCATTTGATCTAAGAAGGCTTCTCATCATTTTGAGATTGGTGTCAGCTCTTAAATCTATGCTTTAAGCTATTCTTGTTAGTATAATGGACAATGGAAGTTTCCCCTAATAATTCTACAGGAAGTTGGCTTAGGCCTAAAATATTATGGGATGAAATTGCCTACGTTTAACCTGTGGTGACACTGCTGGATAAGAACTAAAAGACATGTACTATTTGGAGGTTACCATCATAACTCCTTAGGGACTATGCCTTCAGGGCTCAAATAACAGTACCTAGAGAAAAGCTTGCTATACAGTTGTTTGCCTCTTACAATATCTAAGGATGCCAAGTTGTGCCCAGAAATCTGGAGAACAACCAGTTGGCCAACTGACTGGAAAAGATTAATATTTGTTCCCATTCCAAAGAAGGGTGACCCAACAGAGTGTGGAAACTATAGAATATCATTGATTTCACATGCAAGCAAGATACTACTGAAGATTATCTAAAAACAAATGGAACAGCACATCAGCAAAGAACAGCTGGAAGTCCAGGCTGGGTTTAGAAGGGGCCATGGTACTAGGGATTTTGTAGCTCATGTTAGATGGATCTTAGCTGAAAGCAGGGAATACCAGAGGAATATCTATCTGTGTTTCATTGACTATGCAAAGGCATTTGACTGTGTGGATCATAACAAACTGTGGCTGA